CCAGCAAGCTATCGAAAGTATCCTGCCTGCATGGCAGTGCATGGCAAGCTCCCTGTGGCATATTTGATATGCCAAAAAATAGTAACAAGAAATCTCACTCTGGATACGTCACTGGTGCCCGCTCGAGCAAGTTGATGAGCAACGGGAGGACAGTGTTACAGTGCTACATGTATATATCCTTTTGGTGACAAAACTTAAAAAAAAATTATCATTAGCTCATATCATATATGCAGAAACCCCCACCCCTAGCACATGTGCAAATACAAGAGTATCTTCTATAACTTAGTATTACACAGTCATGAGCCACCAAAATTGACAGATAAATTCTAGTTACAGATATACATGGTATGTAAAAATATATGCCATTTATTGTGTGGATTGACTGATTTCCTACAGATCTGAGGGTACAAAATTCTGTTCCCATTGTTCATCGATTTGCTCGAGCGGGCCCAGTAACGTTTCCATTGGAGACTTTGTTGTTACTGTGTTTGGCATATCAAATATGTCACGGGTAGCTTGCCAGGCTCTGCCGTGCGGGCGAGATACTCTCGGTAACTTGCCGGGCTCTCCAAGAGGGGACTCGAGTCGGCCATGTTGGCTGCGTGCAAGGCAAATGCCCTACCACTGTGCTATCAGTCCAGCCCACAATAAGTTATATATATTAATACTATAACAAGACATTGTTCAGACATCTAGAATCTTTAGAAATAGAAAGATGGAGAGACATCCACTACACTCAAGGGACTAACAGTCTAAGTTGAGAGATTTCAAAACAAATAATGAGAAGTACAATTACAAAATGTAGAGGATCAGTTTTAATAGGACACAATGCAATATGTTATGGTAACTCAGTTTGAGAGAAGTAGAGTGTGGAGAGGTTTCTGGAGAAACTGGCAACAAAATTGATCCTTTAAGATCACTAAGAACAAAATGATTATTATAGAAGTTTGTGAGGTCCTAGTTGATGAAGCAATATAAACTAAATAATTAAAACCACTTATGCTGCACCCTTAAACATTTCAATTAACATTAGCATAAAAATAAATAATTGTAGGATGAAGTTCTAGTGCAAGGGATAACTTCTAATCTACTTAGGAAAGTAAAATATATTGCCAAAACAAATTGTTAGTAGTACATGATACAAAGCAAATTACAACATATTAAACAAATGTACCCACTTTTTTTACTCAATAAATATTAACTATGGATCATATTCTGCTCTATGCTTTGAGAATATTACAATAGAAAACATGCACAGCAATGGTCTCATGGAAAGTCATATTCTGCTGGGAAATGAAACAAGTTAATATGTGTAATATATGGTTTTGAAAACTTCATCATCATAAATATGCTTCAGATAGTAGCATGTCAAATTCTAATTCTTGAAAGTCAAGGGTCTAATATACAAATGGAGGCTGGTAGTAATAAACAAAAGCTATTAATAGAAGAAGTTGCCCAGCATTTTAGTAGGAGTTTTACATCTATTAAAATATTATGGCAGACAACTTATTACTACATTCTCTAATAAACACTTATGTAATTATAATTAGAATAAGGTATTTATAATAAACAGACCCTTATCCTCTATACAGGATCCTTTTACGTTATTGATATTTTAGATTAAACATGCATCATTTAACAATGGCAAAAAGGACTTTCTAATGGTTCCCTCAAATTCTATGATGTTATATCTTTTAAATATGAGTATTTTAAATAGAAATATTTGTAAATATTGGGGATATGGCAAAAAGAGCATTATTCAGAGCACATGGTGTGAAGTAGACAATTATCTAAACATTTTTTCTCTCATAGAAAATTTGGAAGGAATCAAAAGAAAGCAGCCAAAAGACAAAGGACATTTGTACTTATTGTTACTATACCAAAAATGTGATCACTCTCAGGTAAGGCTCATGGGCTCATGGTTTGCTAATAACTCTGAAATAAGTTATAGCATCAATTCAAAAGTAGACATAGAACCAAATAAAACTCTGATTTGGGATCATATTACTTAAATGACTTTTCCTATTCTGACAAATGATGATCATGTTATAAGTCTACTTTATACTGATGTTAATCAACAAATCATCATAGAACCAGAGAGATAATATAAATGTAAGGTGCTTGCTTTGCCTGTAGCTGACCATGATTCAATCCCTGATACCACATGGCTCTCCTGAGTACAGAGCCTAATAGTAAGCCCTGAGCACTACCAGGTGTGGCCCAAAAACCAAAGCAAGAAAAACAAAAACAATTTTCATAGAAAGCTGGTTGTGATTTAATCACAACTCTAAAAGTTTTATTAGTTATGGCAGTCAACACATCCTGTACCCCACTGTATGACTTTCTTCTTATTTGGGCCAGCTGGAAGATCAGAACAGTTGAGGAATAAAACTCAAGCGTGTAAATCTCATTAGTGATTTTAGTGATTTAGTCTTGTGAAAGATATTTTTAAAAAATCCAGTGAACCAAACTTAAAAAAAGGTAATAGATTAGCAAATAATTATCTACTTGCTGCTAACATTTATAGCACATTTATTCTTCATCAAACCTTTCCTAATAGTAATGCCATGAACTGCATAATAATCACTGTGCTTTGATTAATTATTTTGTTGAATAAATGAATTCATTACACTTTCACTATCTCCAGTTTCTACAGTACATTGTTTTTGTGACAAAATAGAAGTTTATTAATAAGTATATCAATAATTATAGTAAAATGTTTCCATTTGAATTATCAAAATACAGTACATGATATTTAGAATATATAATGAAAAAAATCTCCAATTAAGGAAAATTTATGGGAGCCTGTAGCAAGTTCTTTGCTGAGTGCATTTATTTGGTTTCCTGATTTCTCAGACCAATCTCATTAACAATGACAAAAGATATGCAAATGTAAACAGACAATAGGCAACCCAAACTGCTCTGACTCACACCAACAGGGACATTTTCAGAATATATTCAACTTGGTTCACACTTGCAAACCAGGGTCAATAAAACCAAGGAACATTTTTATAGCTATGCTTGGCTATAATCAGAAAACTCTTCTATAATCAATGACCAAGAACAATGCAAATAAGAACCAATCTTATTTTCTTACAGTAAATTAATATATAAAACATGTAAACGATTTAAACCCCTGTAGAATCCTGTATTTACTCTTGCTACTATACAATTGCATAGTAACAAAAAATACATATAGTACAAATCATTTTGGTTGTTTTAAGAAAACAAAATACTACTTTTTTTATAGGAACAGCACATTGAAAACAATTTTGGACTTAATTTTCCTCCCAACTCCCTCAAAAAAATTTAGAAGAATTAATGATTTACATAAAAAAATCTGTTGAAGGGTAATATTAAAAATAATATTTTGAAAATATAATAAACTCTTTAGCCAAGTTCATCTGCTAAAAAATAAGTGTTGCCCCCCTCTGCCCCACTCCAAAAAAATAGACTATTATAAACTGCTGCTACGACAAATCTCTGAAATTTAAACTACAATAATCAAAAGAGAGCAGGATTCAGTTTAGTTTTTATTTTTCTTCCATTACACAGATTTTTTTTCACCTATGATCTACTGCAGAAAAATTACCTATAATGCCAGGTTTGAAAATTCTAAAACTGGTTTTAGTCAGCTTGTCAAATGAAGTAATAGTGATCTTAGTTCAGTCCCTAGTGGACAAAAACAGAATAACTCTAATTTGGCATGAATCAACAGGCAGTGATCTAGTGAGAAGTGACCACACATGAACAAAACTGAACATTTGCCTGTTCCTCTAGCTTTTATCTGTTTTAAGGGGTTTCTCTGCTAATATACTAAATAAAAGAATATCGAATACGTTTCTCCCTCTACATATCAAATCAATTTTAGCAAACATCTCAGAGGGAGAATGTTTAAAAATGAGGACATTGCCACTCTTGTAAGTGACACATAGTTGAATACACTTGTTGTTTGATACATAAACGGTACCTGTTTCACAGTTAAACCGAGAGCAAAGACAACGAAAAATAGAAAATGCATTTATATTTAACAGACATATCATTAGTGAATATTTAAATGACAGATGCCTAACTGAATAAACTGCTCAATTTTATCTCTATAAACGATGAAATGAATCCACAGAGACGCTCATTTGGATGAAGTCCCAGATGGCATTACCTGCAAGGACAGTTTCTGAGAGAAGAGGCACTTCAAGCAGAGATTATATACTGTGTCAGTTGGAATCTGCAGGTGCACAGCTCTAGCACCAGCCCCCACCAGCTCTATTTCTCCTTTCAGAGCAGGCAAAGAGCCTCCTCCTGATGTATTACACTAAAATATACCTACTTGGTTGCTTTTCGTTTTTTTCTCAAGGACAAAAGCAACATGTCAGCAATCAAGCCTCTACTATTCTAAAACTTGCTGAAATTGTTTCCTTATACATTCAAACACACACAGAAGAGCGCGCGCGCACACACACACACACACACACACACACACACACAATTTATCCAATCAAATACATGTTATAGTTTACTAACATTTCCTATGAACTTTCCTAGACGTTAAAAGCTAAGTATTTTATGATGATTTCTCTCTCCAGCTGCAAAAAAATTCCTGGCATAAAACTCTATTTGATCCTAAATTAATACTGTCATTATTTTCTTTTTTCACCAACTTGCTCAACATCTAAATAGTTTCTTCTACAAAGCTGGGTTTTGACAGAAATTCAAATTACATTTTAAGTAAGAGAAAACCAGGAATGTCATAAATAAAATGGGCCACTGCTAGGCACACAAACGGGGTGTCACCATCCCGCCAAAGGCTTGCACCAATCTAAAACCTTGGCTCAGCCTTGAAGTTTCACCAGAGAGCTGCCCTGCATTTGCAAACACTGCCCCCCTGGATCAAAAGGTAAACAAACGCTCTTTTAAGGAACTCTCAAGAATTAGCTGCGGACTAAGTAAGGGGGAAAAACTCCCAAGTTCCGTGCAATTAGAAACTGAAAGCAATCACTTACTTTTTGCAGCCACTGAGTATAATTTTCCATCACATGCTCCAGATGTTGAAGCTTCTGGGAAGAGAAATCCGGTTCCACGTGTGGAGCATCTCTCTGCAGAGCATTCGTGTTGTACTGGTCTGTCGTACTCTCACGACAGTTCCCGTCGTGTTCTGGAAGAATGAAAGTGTAGGCACACTGCCCATGCTGAATCCGGTTATATCTTCTCCCACCGTTTTCTGGACTCCGGCGCTGGTTGCTGCACCCTATGTGAGTCAGAATGGCAGCGAGGAAAGCAAAGGAAAGGAAAACTGTCATTGTACGGCCAGCACTCACTTTTCGTGCCTCTTGAGAAACTTGCTCCTTTCTTCTGACCTTTAAACTAGTTCTTTATTTCAGGTAAAACTGCTTGTTTGCTTGACTTTTCCCCTTCCAAGAAAGCCTTTGAAAAAGAGTCACTGAAAACGAGCCATTTGTTAGATTTGTTCTAAAATGTTGTAATTAAAAAAAATTCACTGTGATGATAGTTTCCTTAGTTAAAACTTGAGATATTTATTGCATAGTAGCTGAGATTTATTGTTTCCTCTCTGTGTAATCGTTCAGCATGGAGCCTGCCCGAGTCAGCTGCGTGTACATATTCTAGACCCTTTCCTCTACCCTATCTGCTGCAGATCTGCTATTTTCTCCCGGACCTCAGTGAGTTTTATTAAGGTTGCACATCCAAGCCAAGCTGGAAGCAGGCAGCCTTTCACAAGATGACTTGACAGGAATGCATGAGTGTGCCCCTATGCTAAGGATTGCTGATGGCTTGGAGCAGCAGGGATCATCTTACAAATTGGCTAGATGCGCATGACCTCGATCATGTATGGCCCTCCCGCCCCTTTCCGCAGACAATTGCCTCCAGCCTTTAGCAGATTCACAAAAATCAATAAACACTGCAGTCCACCTTAATACACTTTTTGGTGTGCTAGCTGACCCACTAAAATCTACCACACTCTCAAGTATGTTTTTAAAGTTACTTTTAAATTGAGAAACCCTAAGAAGGAAATTGGCATTGTGTCCTGTGAAATTATTTTTGATAGTGTATAATAATTGGAAGGTATTAATTTTTAAAAAATATTCCTCACAGTGGGGGAAAAGGGATATTAAAGACCATTTTTAGAGAGTGCAGTCTTTTATTATACTCATTTAGAACTTCAGGAAGTTGAAGAAAATTATACCAAATTAACAGAAAAATTTTTATGATCTACTACTAAAAGGAATATAGCATGATATATTACAGAGGATAATATTTGTATTTTCTGGGATGTGCATTTAAATGTTCGGTTCCTTGATCAAAATGCAGCCCTGAGTGTTTGGTGCATTTCTGTATACAAATAAGCACCCTTTTCAGTTGTAATATAAGACAGTGACCTAAGGATTATTAATTATTGGGGTATATCCGAAACAATATGCTACTATGACCACCTTAAATTCTCTTAAGACAAGTGAACATAAATCATCCATCTCAGATAGAAAAACTGTCTGAAAACAAACATCTATCAAGCGTGTCAGTGGGCTAGGGAAGGATTGTTTAGGGAATCCCTGTACTCTTATTAGGGAAAACACAAAAATTATCAGATGATTTCACCAGTAAAGGGGAAAAAAATTGAAGACAGATCAGTAAACCATAAAGAGCAGGAGACAATTACAGAATTAAGCTTATGGCACTGAGATCTTTACACAGAGCATAGAAAACATGAATTATGAGCAAGGGCTTTCATTAGGAACTGGAAAAGATTTCAGGGAATGGAGCCTCTGAAGTGCAGCCATGGCATAAAAGCAGAAGTCAGAGTGATTGGGGGCAGGGCCGTGGGTGGGTGAAGAGAGTCAGGGTTAAGAGACTGACATGTAGGAAGAAGTTTTAAGACAGGACAGCACAAACAAAAAAAAAGTTTATGCAATTTACTTGGGAGTGGTGGTGCAGAATTACACACAGTTCAAGTTCTTGAATTCATTTCACACCAAATAGCAAATTTCTCATTTGACAAATAGAGAAGCAAGTAATAACAAACAGAGCAAAAGAAAAAAAATTAACCATCTTTACAACCTCCTTATTTTGTATATCTCCTGTTAGATATTATGTATTTTTTCTGCAGTAACAAATATCAGAATTCGGAGTGGGGGCCCCTGGTGGGGGATGGGCCAGACCAGTGTTCAGGAGCTATTTCTGGCTGTGTTGAAGAGTGACCCCTGGTGGTGCTTGGAGGATCATATGTAGTGCTGAAGATCTGAACCCGGGCGGGTTGCATGCAAGGTAAACACCTTAACACCTGTACAGTCTTCACCCATAGTTTTTAAGACCTTAATCTGATTGAGGCCCATTCTATGTATGCCTTATATAGAATCTCATTCATATGCAAAGAACCCTAGAGATTGTTTTATTTTGTTAGTCACCGTGAAATTACAGTTATCCACGATTTGGTTTAAGGCATACAAGGTTTCAGCACTGATCCCTTCAACAGTGGCTATCCCCCCCCCCCATCTGCGCCCCCTCTACCAGTGCTCAACCTTGCTCCATATGCTTCTCAACCTGTTTTTACTAGAAGCAGTTTTTTTTGGTTTTGTATTTTTTGTTTTGTTTTTTTGGTTTTTTCACCTTTTGGATCACACCCAACGATGCTCAGGAGTTACTCCTGACTCTGCACTCAGTAATTACTCCTGGCGGTGCTCAGGGGACCATACTGGGTGCCGGGGATCAAGCCCAGGTTGGCCAAAGGCAAGGAAAATGCCCTACCCTCTGTACTATTGCTCTGACACCAGCGATTTTAGTTTTATATGTGTTTTGCACTTCGGTTTGCAGTATTATTTCTGATAAGGTTTCATACTTAATACTTGGCCACTTTTCAACACCTCTGCCTCTGAGTTGAAGGTTTCCAACAGAAACGATGCCCCTTCCCTGGCTCCTTCAAGTGGCATGTTTCCTACTAAATATCAGTTCTCATGTTCTTTTGTTTTGCTGCCTGTGGGTATTCATTATTCCACCATTATGTTTCTTTATGTCTGGCTTATGAGAGAGATTATTTTATGTCCATCTATCTCCCTCTGACTAACTTCACTCAGCACGTTACTCTCAAGATCCCTCCATGTAGCAGCAAATTTCATGACTTTATTTCTTCTTAAGGGAAAATAATATTCCATTGTGTATATGTGCCAGAATCTTTTTGTCCAGTCATCTATTCTTGGACACTTGGGTTGTACCAGATTTTGGCTGTTGTGAATACAGTTGCAAGAAATGTAAGTGTGCAAATGTTTTTCTTCCATTTTATTTTTGGACCTTTGGGCTATATTCTAAGAAGTGGGGTTTCTGGGTCAAGTAGAAGCTCATTCCTAGACTTTTTAGGAATGTCCATATTGTCTTCAAGAAAGGCCAAACCAGTCGACACTCGTACCAGCAGTGAATGAGAGTCCCTTTCTCTCTGTATCCATGCCATCACTGGTTTTGAAGGGATTTGAAATGAATTTAAATCCATCTTACTGTTGGGAAAACTGAGTCAGAGAAAGTCTAACTAATCATAACTCACAGAGCTGGAATATAATGATGTCAGTATGTAAAGTCTGGTAAGCTGACTGGAAGCCGATGTTTCTAACCTTAAGGACACAAACAGCAAAAATTCTCTAACATTGTTTCAGTCCAAAGTGATAAAACTGAAAAGAAAAAAAACTGAGCTAATTCATACCTTCAATGTGATGTAATGCTACTTTTTACTCAAAAAATATGACAATAGGTAACCCTACAATTGGATTTTTGAGGGCCCACAAATACCAACTGGACGGCAAAGGATTGACTACATTTTCTAACCATACTATCCAACACTGTCTTCTCTGAAAATTATCCCTAGAAAGACAGAAATCCAAAGCCAACACCTTTAAGTGCTTCCAAACAAACTAAATACAGCTGAAAATCAGCAGAAGATAAAGGGCTGAATAAGGAGGACTCTATCAAAATGTCCCTGTGCTTTTTAAGCATCCAAGGTAGCAAAAATCTGTTCTTACGTGTTTTTATGTATCTTCATAAGCTTTTTCAATCTTAACACATGAAAAAAGCAAGGCACAGTTTCTTCAAGGAAATTAGACCATTAAGAAAGAAAAAACTGGGTAGTCAGATAGTGCGAGGAGGAGTTACAGACTTTTATTTCTTTTTCATAAAGTCAAAGAAACAAAATTTGAAACTATGCCAATGTAAATACTGGTACCAATCTGGAGAGGAAAGGAAAAATTGCTTGAGACCAATTTCACTTATTTGGAAAACACAAAGTTGTGCAAAATTCACTCATATTTTTTTTTCTTTTTGTGTCACACCCGGCGATGCTCAGGGGTTACTCCTGGCTCATGCACTCAGTAATTGCTCCTGGCGGTGCTCGGGGGACCATATCGGATGCTGGGAATCGAACTTGTGTTGGCCATGTTGGCTGTGTGCAAGGCAAACGCCCTACCGCTGTGCTATTGCTACAGCCCTGCACTCATTTTTTTTTGAACTCCAATGAAAGACACAATGGATCCACTTGAGAACCCCAATGAATGTGCTTTCAGGAACCAGAAACCAAATGAACATTATCAATATATTAAGTTTTTGCTGATTTTTTCAAAAATGGGGGACAACTTGGGGACTTTAGAATTTAGGAGGTAAAAAACATTTCACATTTTAAAAATTATTCTCTATTACAAGAAGTTCTTTTAAGTTCTAAAATAAATATTTTATTCAATAAGTAGCTTGACTATGAAAGCTTTGTCTTTTTATATTTTATTCTCATTGTTAGAGATTTGGATGAGACATTGTTTTAAGATTCTGGCTTCACATTCACATTATTCCTAGTAAATGGTAGACTCAATCAGAATTTTCAATGTGACAAGAAACATCATTTATATAAAAGTTGGTGCCTTAAGTGCATTTTAAAATTTTTACTTCTTTTCTGATGTTCTCCTAATTTCTCTAGGACAAATATACTACTCCTTTTGATGCATTTCAACAACCTCTCTTCCTATTTTTTTTATACTGCTTTACTTTTTATTGTTTGTTCTCCTAGTTGTGAACTCATAAAGTGATCTCTTTCATCACTGATTACATATCACTTGCACACTGTGGTTGATGGAATGAGGAATAAGTGAAAGAGTGAAGGAGTTAATTAATCACTTAGGGTAAAGTAAAGGCCCTCCCACTGATCATCGATTTGCTCGAGCGGGCCCAGTAATGTCTCCATTGGAGACTTTGTTGTTACTGTGTTTGGCATATCAAATACATCACGGGGAGCTTTCCAGACCCTGCCACGCCACGAGATACTCTCGGTAACTTGCCGGGCTCTCTGAGAGGGGCGGAGGAATCGAACTCGGGTTGGCCATATTGGCTGCGTGCAAGGCAAATGCCCTACCGCTGTGCTATGACTACAAGATAACTGGCTTCTCTGTTGTATTTTGTGAATAATGTGTAAATTCTGAATAGAGTCAAACATTTTCTACTGAATGAATTAGACACAAACAAAACAAAACACAATAATAATGAATACTTTTTATCCTTTAATGTCTTCTTTTAATGTGAACAGTTTCCCCACAAGTGCACATTATTATTCTTATTGCCTCTTCTATCGTTCTGACTTATAGTTAGTTACTCCTGTGCCATATCAAGTGCTGAATAACTTTATTAGTCATCCTCAAAAAATAGACAATATGAAATAGATTTCATTTCTCAAAAACATCAATAGG